CATTTAAATTTTCTTGATGAAATTTATGAAAAATCTAATCAGTGGACCACTCCTAGTCCATTTGAAAGTACTAATCGCTCTAAGTCTACTTCCTCTTCTGTTAGTAAAGGGAATTTTCAATTAAAAGGAGGAAGATTATTTGAAATTAAAATATGAGAATTTGGCCAAAGAGGCAGTTGCTTTAAAAATCGAAATATCTAATGCACCTCAACATGTTTATTCCACCAACATTAATTAGGTTTGTGATGTTTGTTATGAGATTGGTCGCTGCACTAAAAATTGTCATCTGTTACACGAGATGAAATGAGCTTATGAAGAATGGTGTGCAATCATAGGAAATTATCAAAAGGCATATTCTTCTTTTTCTGAGACCTACAATCCAGCAACAAGAAATCATCCTAATTTCCGTTGGAGGAATAATGAGTCCCAGCCTCAAGTAAGTTTCTCTAACCAACAATCTTCTACTCCAAATTCATTTAATCCTAAACCATCGTTGGGAGATACTCTTTTCTAACTTTTACAAAAACAAAAAATTGATGGCATTTGATGCATGTGACCTACTCTTATTTTTACATGACTTGAAAGATCCTAAGAGCATTTCCACTCATGGCCTTTTGCCCTCTGGATTGAAAAAACCTCTCAACTAATGAATTCTAGCCCGAGTAGTAGGGATGGAAAAAATTCCCATAAGGGCGGGTCCTCGACCCTAACGAGGGGAGATTTCGAGGCCAAACTGGTATTGGGTATGAGGATCCTCGAACTTGAAAAATCCCGGATGGGTGTGGGGAATGGATGGTATTGGAGTCCCCATCCCTGAACCTGACCCGAAAATATATATGTTTATATTTAAATAAATAAATATAGAATTATAATATTTATGTTTAACCCTAAGTTAACCTCCCTCTCTTAATTCTTCCTAATCTTCTTTGGAATTTTTTAGGCCCAAAAAATCCAAGGTTGGGCCCAGATATATTCCTAGCCCAGTACGACACCTTACTGAGAGAAAACCTGACTTGGGTACGCAAGAGTTTGTCATATGCGCTTGCACACGTGCCACGCGAAGCAAATACGCAACATGCCACACAAAAAGGTCGTAACAAGCCCGTAAAATGTACTGGCTCTATGAACCCTCGCTTATTATCTCGTTGAGTGCCATTTGGCCCGGCCATAACCCATTACAATATGACAAAACTCAAGCACAAGCACGTCAAATAACATGCAATGCCAAGTGAAAAACCTTTATCTTAGTACCAAGCTACGCTACAAGCTTAAGTGGCCCAAGCCACGCGAATGCCTAGGGCTTGCTGAGCGGGTTGTGGTATGGATGGTTACGAGTATTCAAGAGACCCATTGATTGTCCAAAAAATTGAAGTTTTGGGCTGCTTGGGAGCACTAATGGAAGTTTTGGGCTGCTTGGGAGCACCAAAACTCAAGCCCATTTCTTGAGCCTAAACATATGGGTAAGCATGAGAGAGAAAACCCAATACCTTAGGAAAATATCCAATGGCCTACAACACCTAGAAATATCCCACATCAGTCAAAATATTCAGAACCTTGTCAAAACTAAAGCAAATCCATGCAGATAGGCTGTTTCCAGCAGCTTGACGAAACCAAGGCAAACTTACAAGCCTCTCTATGGTGGGTGTTGCGTGCGCAAATCTCACGGCCTAGTGCTCTGGGCCAAGGGGATGTGCGTGAACACGTGATGTCCTTCTTTTGGATGCGGTGCGGTTGTGCGCGGGCGTGCCAGCACGGTCTACCGTGCGTCGAGATGGTGATGAGGTTTGGGTAGAATATGGTTAAGTGATGCGCCTGTTTTGAGTTGGACTTCTAATCAAACGATTGTGGCCGAGAAAGGAACTTATCTCGGCCGTCAGGTTCACGGCCTGAGCTACAAAGCCGTTTAGTGGTGGTGGATTTTAGGCCGTGCTCCGGCGCGTTGCTCAGAGAGCGACGGTCGTATGATATATGGGGTGAATGAGACGATAACAGGGATGGTGCTCCGGCGCCTTGAAAATCAAGGGTCGTATGATATATTGATGAATGAATTTTCCTTACAATCTACCATTACTTCTAGGAAATCAATTAAAGGTATTAAAAGTGCATTGCTGGAAAATATAAGTTGCTCCGTGGGAGGCTTTTGGTTTGGTGTTGAACCCTTTGAACGTAGTCTTGAGCTTAGTATTTATAGGGGGAGTCCTGGATGGACAATCGAGGCTTGAAAAAGATCTGCATGGTGGAGTCTGATCGGGGCAAGTGGGTAGTCAAATCGGCATTTGGGATCGTGAAGCATGGTGGTGTGACCCCCATAAATCTCGGCAAATCTTGGCCACCGCCCTGATCGTGGGTTCTGCGCCCTTGGCCGTGGGAACGCATTTAATGCCATGGTCTAGTGGTTGGTGATCTGACCTCAAGTTGTAAGAATACTTGTGAGAATGTTTGCGCCTAACCACTCTGATTCCTGCTACCAAATCCTGACTTCAGTCACTTCCCCTCTTCCTTCGTGCATTAAATGCTTCTTGCGACCAATGGATTTGCTGCGATAGTTAGAGGCATTACTTCATTAAATGGGGCGTGGGACCCTGAGGCCACGTGGCGATTTAACCATAGTATCTTCGGCCGTGTCTCTTACGGCCTTCGGCCGTGTCTCTTACGACCTTCGGCCTCGGCCCATAATACCGCGGCCGCGAGGCCGAGAGGATTCTGCCTTCGCATCCTTTCTTCTGTTTTTAGGAAGGCAAAATGCCTAACGAAACGTGGCCGTTTCAGTTTATGAGCAGGGGCCAGGGCCAAGAGGAAGTCCCTTCGGTTAGTTTATGACCGTGATTTATTAGGCACAAACAGTGGGGAAAACAAGAAGGAAAAGTAAGAGGCGCCTCATGCAGATGGAGGAGTCCAGCCGCAGGAAAGTCTTGGAACCCCAAAAAGCTCTGCTCCTATGTGCTTGGGTTGGGGAGATTTCACCAAAGAGGATTGAATGGAAGAATGTGAAGAAAAATTGAGAAGAAGACTTGATAAAATTGAGGACGGAGATGGTATTGTCATACTCGGCCCCTATACCTGATTCGTTGTCATCCCTACCAAGTAGGATGTGGGCTCCACCAAGTCTGGACAAGCTCGAAGGCTAGATCAACCTGAGGGCGCTGATGTCAACGAATAAAATTTTTTATAAAAAAAATTGAAAAAAATTACAAAAAAAAGTAAGAATTTTTTTTATATAACACATACCTAGCAATATTTTATTTATTAATCTCATACATATAATTCAAATTAATCCCATGTGAATAGTAATTGCCATTGGGTTGTCATGACAATGGAGAAAAAAAAAAAAAAAAAAAAAAAGCACAAAAACGCAAAAAAACAGATACTATTCATGTGAACAGTAACTACCCTTACTTGCCATTTGCCTTTTGTCATTGCCAAATGAGTAGAAGTGCTCTAATAACTCTTCAAAACATATTCATCTCTTCCCTAATTTGAGCAACGAAGCTATAATTTGAGTACCAAATCGATCTAATTTAAAAGTTTAGATATAAAAATTAATTTAAATTAAGGATACTTCAAAAGTTGGAAAAGTTTCTAGTACCCAACAATTTTCAAAAGTACCAAATTGAGATGGGTTGATAATTAGTGATAAAAATTCCCACTTTTTATTATTATATAGACGAGACTTGGGTTGGGTCCGTCTAAACAAGTACACGTAAGCTAGGTAAACAGACAGAGTTTGGGTCCTCCCGCGCCGTGGAACAGATTTGTTTTTTTTTTTTAAATTTTAATCAGACAGATTTGTTGTTTTTCTGTTACGAATTCTTTTTTGGGTCAATTGTTACGAAAATTATTTTCTCCTGGCCACCTTTCTCGTATGTACCTGTCAATTGTACCTCTCTTCTGGTATTTTCCTTGAGTTTTGAAACAGTCTCTCTCCCTCAAAGCCGTACATTAGGCAAACCCGCGCATCTCTCTCGCCTCTCCCTCTCTCTCCCTCCCCTCTCCCTCTCTCTCTAAAACTCTCATTCATTCGCCTCTGCCTTCTGGGCTGTGGTTTCCTGTTCTGGTTTTTTGGTTAATCCTCCTCGAAATCTCATCCACAAAGGAAAAACCAAAAGGAAAACAAAAAACCCATAAGCCCCAAACTGCCCAACACCCCAAAAATGTTGTTTTCTGCTCATTATTGTTGTTACAGTTTGTTCCATTCTCTGTTTTTTAATTGCCCTCCAACGACTTTGTCTTTCTTCGATTCTCTGGTGTTCAAAGTAAACCTTTTCGTCTCCCTATAATATATTCCAGTTTCGGGATTTATTGGGATTTTTTTTTTGCACGCGTGATTCTTCTGGTACTTCTCCGTGGGTTTGTTTTTTGGGCTTGTGTTTGAATATTCAATCTTTTGAGGGTCATTGGTCTTTGGTCTTTGGTCACACAGTTGTGGAAATTGTGTCGTTTTCTGAGAGTTTACTTTCATTCTTTTGTTTTATTATTTATAGAAAAGAAATCAAAGAAAAGTGGTTGGTGATGAAATACTTGGGATTTTGAAGGTTGTTTTGTTTTCATTTATTTCATTTGGAATATAAAAGAAAGGAAAGTCGGTATTGATATTTTTATTGGTGCATATTAACAGAAATTGTTTTTTGGGTTATGAGGTCAACATTGGAGACATTTGGGGTGGTGTGATTGGTTTTCAATTACATCATATATTCCTTTTTCATCTTCCATCTTATTTCATTTGTTAAATTTAAGGAAAGCTTTGTTGGTGAGTTCTATTGTTAACCAAAGAAGGGTTTTCCAAATCTATCTGTTTTGAGCTTTATCATTGATGGGTTGCTGCATGCATATCTGGCAAAGATGATGATGAAAAATTGAAGTCTTTTGTTGATCATGTTTTCTATGACAACAGCTTAACAGATTGTTTCCGGGTTTAGCTTCGTTTCATTTCTTTTTGCTGTTCCCATTACCGTTGGTAGTTTGGATTTTCTCTGTCGATTTTTCTGTGTTGATTGTCAGCAATGGATTCAAGGACAAGTGAGAATTTTGAAGGTGACATTGTATCAAAGCAGGTGGATCTCCAGCAAGGCGATATGAAGTTTAACATTAAGGGTACAGGTACAGGAAGCATTAGTTTCAAAGATATGGATCCAAAAATTAAGGGTACAGGAAGCATTAGTAACAAACAGATGGATCCGAAAATTAAGGGTACAGGAAGTATTAGTAGCAAAGAGATGATCTTCAGAGCTGATAAAATTGATTTGAAGAACATAGATATACAGCTTGAGAAGCACTTGAGCAGGGTTTGGTCCAAGAACATTGAGAGAACCAGGCCTAAGGAAGAGTGGGAGATTGATTTATCTAAATTGGATATAAGATATGTTGTAGCCAGAGGGACCTATGGTATTGTATACAGGGGTACCTACGATGAACGAGACGTTGCAGGTAATCACTGATAATCCCGTTCCCATTGTGATTTTGAATTTTTCTGGCTGTGTAGGACATGATAGAAAGAAAAGAAAAAAAAGGAAGGAGCTTTCTTTACATATTGTATTGAATACATCCATCTTCTCTGTGTATCTCTTATGTTAATTTGGCATTGAATAACTAGTTTTTTGGCAGTTAATTCTAAGAACTGCTACGCTGAATCCCTTTCGGCCATTTCTGGTGTTGAATTGGGATTTATATGAATAAAAATAACAATATGTTTTTAGTATTTCCCTTTGCTTTTGGTGAGTCATGTTAAAACACTAATTTGGCATGTATCAAGTCTGTAGGTGAAACTGAATTATGTGTTCCACTTCAACGTTGAACGCATGATATTGAAGTGTTACATATAATTTATCCTTATATTCTGTATTATTGGTTGTGATTGACAAGTCCTGTCATACTTTCAGGCCTTAGTAGAATTTTGATCGATACATTAAAACCGTTCATAATCCTGATAGAAAACCATAGCCAGTCTTAATTTGTATGAATTTTTTAAACTTCTGTACTGATGTTGTTTATGGCACTTTCCATCATGTGATTATATTACTCCAATCGCTTTGTTTCGCTCTGTTTCCAATCAATCATTAGCAGCCATAAAAGTCGGTGCTCAACCTCATATCATATGTACTCTCTTTGATAATTCTGAAATTCTTTGGATTTATGCAATATAAATTGGAGCTAGCACTTTCGTTTTATGAATGATCTTATTTGAGTTACATTATAATGTTGAAGCAAATCTATTAAAGAATATATTTAGTCAAAGTTAAAGAAAAACACTTGAGGAGCCAGGATGCCAGTTAATTAATAATGGATATTTTATTTTGGATTATTATTCTAGAGCTTAATTTCTGTAAAATGAAAAAGGAAACGTCATACTTCTGAGATTATTTATAGTAGTATGATAACTTTGCATATAGTTATAGAACTCTGCAAATGATGTCAATTTAGTATATTTTGTTGCATTAGTATTTTCTTGTCAGGAACCTGGCGGAGTTTGAATTGTTTTACATGGTGATTTGCAAACTTTATGATTGAAGCATGACTGTTTAATCTGTTCTAACACTAGTCATTTCATTTCTAGAGTACCAGAAAAAAAACTGATGTTAAATGAGATCGATAGCAATTGTTTGCAGTGGTGGTACAGTAGTGCTCTGCCACTTTGTTGGCATGCATATCAAATTCTCATTGCAATCTCGTGCTGAATTTTATAGTTAAGGTGTTGGACTGGGGGGAGGATGGTTATGCCACAGCTAATGACACTAATGCTGCGCGGGAATCTTTTCAAAAAGAAGTTGCTGTCTGGCACAAGCTTGACCACCCTAATGTTACAAAGGTACAGACCCAGTTTTCTTTTGATTTTTTATATTCAGTTTATTGCAATCTCCATTATTAATGTAAAAGTGACAGTTGTGGAGATTATCACTCAACGATTCTTCCACCCCTCCTCTTTGTCTCAGTTCATTGGAGCTTCAATGGGAACTTCAGATCTTAAGATTCCTTCAAAAAGCTCTTCAAGTGATGGTCTAGATTCTAATCCTGCAAGAGCATGTTGTGTTGTTGTGGAGTATCTCGCTGGTGGGACACTAAAGCAATACTTGATAAGAAACAGGCAAAAGAAACTTGCCTTTAAGGTTGTGATCCAACTTGCTTTGGACCTGGCTAGAGGGTGAGTTCAATTGTTCTATACATTTCTCAGCTACATACTTTTCTAGTAAATTCTTATTGATCTGGGATTGTTACCCTTCCTCTTGCAGTCTTTGCTATCTGCATTCTCAAAAAATCGTACACCGTGATGTCAAAACAGAAAATATGTTGCTTGATACTCGCAGAAACCTTAAAATAGCGGATTTTGGTGTCGCTCGTGTTGAAGCTCAGAATCCAAGGGACATGACTGGTGAAACTGGTACCCTTGGATACATGGCCCCAGAGGTATGTATGCCTAGTTAAAACCTGTTATGTGTTTTTGTGTAGCTGGAATATTATTTCACACTAAAAAGTAACTGTCTGGTGCTCTATGAGATTGAAATAAATTAACAAAGAAAAAGGGGGGGATATAAGGTTAAATCTCCCCAACACTTCTAATTTCATCAGTTCACACCTTAATTGTGCATGCATCTTTTTTTTAGCTTTGGACTTTAGAATGGATGGAAATGACACGCAACCTTCACATGTGAATAAGTGTGTGCCCTTCATGTGAGTAAGCCTAAACTACCTGCCGAAACCACACTAACATATTTTAAAACAACAAAAATTGCATAAGGCTGTTGTGAGCATGTGCAAAGGCACATGGGCTCAGCAAAAATGCTCTGACAGGGTTCTCAACATCCATGTTGAAACCAGAGCAACATATAACAAAGCCACCTTCCTCTTGCTTTTCCCCAAAAAATACCAACACTTATTTGTACAAACTATTTCTCAGTTCCCAGCTTCTGATTCTTTACTCTAACCCCACCAAATTCGCTCGTGAAGGCGATGAAGACAGGGACCCAAATGAGGATGTTGTTTTGAGCCTTTAAAGTTGGTTATGAAATCAATATACTGCTCACCACCTTGCTCGGTATGCTGTCTGTTCCCAGGCATCAAGAGAAGTAATTCATTGAGGTCAAGTATGATAACCTCTTATTCGACACACATCAACAACACTAAGCATTTAAGAACTATTCTGTTGACCTTTTCGTGTTACTGGGAATCTGCTTGATCAATATGTTAAATTGAGCTTTAGATGAAAGAATGAGATGGCCAAGGTGAGAGGGTTTAGTTCAAGAATTGAGGATTGTAATTGTGGATCATGTTATCAAAGTATTTATCGCCGATGAGAAAGATTTAGGAGTCCAGGTTGTTGGCTGGAGCTGATACTTAGAGCATGAAGGGCCAACCTTTGAGAAGGGTTTAAGAGCGAGTTGGCTAGAGAGGGAGAGGGGCTTATGGCTGTGATAAAAAGAAAAGAAGAACGTGCGGCAGTTGAGGACAGTGTTGGTTTTTCCACCGACATAGCAAACGACCTGATATGTGGGTGTGGGATGATGTGGCCACCGTAGTTGCCCATGAGGTGACCTGCCTTACTGCCTTACGGTGCTCGTTGGAAGGAGAGGCTCGTCACATGAGTCTGTATGAGAGCTTTCCTTAATGTCATTTTAACGTGTGTTAATTGATAGAATTAGAAGTTTAGGGGAACGTTGGGACTAGCCTAAAGTTTATGGGGGTTAATTATATATTCCAAAAAAAAAGGAAAGAAGCAACAAGGAGATACTATTGAGTTGAATTATGTTTTCCATCTTGCATATTGTGCTAAAGATGATTCTTCTTTATCGGGTTTGGGGTTGGTTTTGTCTGGGACTCTGATATTGTGTTCACCCTGTGATAAGGTAAAATTATCATTTGTGCTGTTAGCTTGTTACAAATACCTCCATAAAAGAGAAGAAAAAAAAATCAATTTTATGTACATTATTGGGCGTGAAAAGAAAAACCTCTCTTATTCTTTCCTCTCTGTATTTCTCTTAATTCGTGTGATATTTTGTGAGGTTTTAAGTGGTAAATCATTAAGCTGACAAGATTTATGTGTAGGTTCTGGATGGTAAGCCTTATAATAGAAGATGCGATGTCTACAGCTTTGGCATATGCTTATGGGAAGTTTATTGCTGCGATATGCCTTACCCAGACCTTAGCTTTGCTGATGTATCATCTGCAGTTGTCCGACAGGTCAGTTTTTTTCAAGAAATAAATATATATCTCTTTACATTATATAAATACAAGGAAAACTGGCATGATCTAGAGTTTGACTTGTCCATGTTTAACTTTAAAGGTCCTTTTGAAATGTGGGATTTCAAATCTAGGGATTTTGGCTTATGTTTTATATGTAAAAGTTGCATGATACATGAATTTTCATATTTGCATTGTGCATATATATTTCTGATGATTCATTGTATCTGATAATTTCAAATTTAAAATGTTCCATTGTCGCCTTTCGAAATAAATTGAATTCAATATTTTTGTTGCTTTTCCAATAAAATGCTTCATTGTCAAAATCCAAATCGCTAAGTTAGGTCACCCGGTATAAAGTTATCTGCTTTTATAAGACTGCTTACTGTTCATTTAATGAGCAACGTTTATTTATTTTGCTTCTCTGCTGACAATGACCAAAATAAGAAAAATCTGAAATGACTCAAGAAAATTGCATGAAGATTTAGCTCATATTTTGTACTTTTCTGCCTGTTGGTTGGGTCTAAGACTCCAAAGATCGAGGCTTAGTCAGTTGAGTTACCAGTGTCTTAATGAATGGACTTTTGTGGCGGTCTTTGTAATTGAAGTTGTATATCTAGTCAAAGATTTGACATCTAACTCTTCATGGGCGTTTCATTGTACGTACTATATGGTTTGTTAACAGAACTTACGGCCAGAAATCCCCAGATGCTGTCCGAGTTCTTTTTCGAACATCATGCGCAAGTGCTGGGATGCAAATGCAAATAAACGTCCTGAAATGGGTGAGGTGGTGAGAATGTTGGAAGCAATTGATACGAGTAAAGGAGGTGGGATGATACCTGAAGACCGTTCTCCGGGCTGTTTCTGTTTTGCCCCTACTCGTGGTCCCTGAGCTTTTATCTTGATTTGTTCCTGTTGCCGAAGGAAATTGATCGGCTATTTTCTTGCCAGAAAGACGATTGAAAAGAAAAAGAAGGGAAAAGAAAAGGATGGTAAAGTTTTTTTCCAGATATGCTTGCAGTTGCAGCCTTGCCTCTTAGTTTCAAAGTTGTTTCTTTAGTGAATGAACAAAGAAAGGTTTATGAATTGTACATCAATCTGATTTTCCAGCTTGTATTTGTGATGTGGGTCTGTTTCGATAGTGAGCTTCGAGAGTTAGGATTGAATGCGTTGTTGCACATGACAAAGAGCCGAGGGAATCGTTGCCTAGGAACAAACAAGCAGTGACTGGATGGAAACAAGTTGAGCAGCTTACTGAAACGTATTTAGGGGCTGTATTATATATGGTTCTGTAGCATTGCTATGTTCCTATATATTTGATTGGCCTTTTGTATGTTGATTTTTAAACGAAAAGATTTACATTTGTTTGTTGGGCCTTTTGACCTTTCATTTAATGCATATACTAATTAGCAACGAAACTTAGAAACTTATCTGGACGCTTAAGTATGCCTAGGACTATTATGTGGGCAAGAATGTAATTCTACGGCATTGAGCAACACACAAGCAAAGCAAATGTTTGGCTCACGTCCCATTCATTTGGAGGTGGAGAGGAGAGGGTGACAGGAAAGGATAGAAAACAATTCAAGCGATAATTGATTGTTGGTTCTATTTGAGTGATCTTTAAATTTATTTTCTACTTTTAAGGGGTGGTGCAAATTCGAGATATCTTTCAATATTGAGAAGAAAAATAACACGTGAATTCGACCAAATAAATGACAAAGAAAAAGAGAGAAAAAGATGAATGCACCAGCTTAGTGGGATTCTAGTATTATTAATTTCAACACCAATTAAATAGAGCTTGTTTGTATGATCATCATCTCACAGGTGACAGCATATCTCTTATATATTCTTCTCATGTCATGCGCTTGCCATATAACACAAGTGGAATTGTAGTCGGATTAATTTGGTGATGGATGAGGATGAACCTACCTTCATTTGTCGCCTGTGGTTGCTTCTGTGTTCCTATAGTGGTGGAAGTGGAACCAATGCCAATTATTATGAAGAGAAGTTAACTGGTATATTTTATAAGGGAGCGGTTGTTCACACTCTAAAAAAGTTATCTTACACGTCTTTATTATGAAAATATAAGGAAAAAGTTTCACTTGAAAGAGTATGTATGATGACTATTTTGGAGTGTCAATAATAATTCCCTTTTGTATAAAATTATGACTCCTAAGTGCGATCGTTGGTGATTTTGAGGTGGAGTGCATTAAACCGAACCATGTCCACTCCTATTTATCAAACTTATTCATCAAAATTGTTCACCAAACAACGCTGTATCTATAATACCAATGAACTATTTATTTATTGGTATTTCTCTACTTTTTAGAGGAAGTTTCAAGTTTGAATTCTCATTTTTTCTTTGTTTGATAAGTAACGTAATAAGAGAGATAGACGCATAATTGTATACAATAGTTGGTACGAAATTGAATTTACTCACACGAAAGCACAGAAAACAGTCCCTATATTTTTCTGTACAAACATCTCATTTGGTAAACAAATCATCCTCTATCAACATGAATAGAAGATTTGTCCTTGCTGCCGATACGATGTCCTATTATTTACCTAATCCAATAACATTTGTTTGTTTTAACCGTACCCTTTTGGAAGTAGTGGGTGTCACCACTTGCACTAGTTAAATCATTGTCATTCTCCATATCTGCACCCCTACCACTTCACCTTATCTTAGCTAAGAATAAGATCCTAGAGGTAGGGCACCTTATAAAAAGAAAACCCCCAGGAAATATATTTATATTTTTCTAAATAAAGCACTGGACCCAGACTCTATCTTCTATTGGGTTACATGCGACAGTGCAAAAGCAAACAGCAGCAGTAGAATTGTTCCTTATTCTATGCTGTCAAGAATGTGGACGTCAAATCGACCATATGCATATTCTCAGAACACTCCCCTCCCCAGAAAAAAAACAAAACATAGAAGGAAAAAATTGAGATTTTTTTATACAATTGATATTTTATTTTAATTTAATATAAATTACGGATGATTCAAACTCAAGTGCATAATGAAGGGTATATTTGCTTTAGCTAACTTAGCTAAAGCCATGTCTGCACTGAGAATTTTATTTTGATTGAACCTTTATCGGTGGATTAAAGAAGATAATGATTTCCAATTTTGTTTGTGTCCAGATTTTAGAGATAATATATATGTTTACAGTGATCCCAAGTTCATGCATGTGTCAATTCATAAATAAGATCTTTGAATCTAGTGGACTATATAGACAAATTAGTCATACCCTCAAGCTCGTTAGTGGGAAAATAATATGCTGAAAGAGGGGCACTTTCAATTCTGTCGAGAATTATAAAAAAAGGGAGCTCCACAACAATTCTAAAACAAACCCACCAAGAACACAAGGGAAAGAAAAAATATGGAGAAATGGGCTGAGGAGGTGGTGATAAAAAGTATGCAATTAAAAAAAATTTGTCCACTTTAATCATACAAGGCCCCATTAAAACATGTTAACTTTGCAATCAGATGTTTGAAAATGCAAGACAGGAACGTGAGGTAGTGCTTCTTTATATTGATCAGTAAGAATTTTCAACACGAAAGGTTGCGTCAGGTGGTGATAAGAACAAATGTCGATATCCTTTGCCAACAAACTTCATTTTCCGTTTTGTTTTTCTTGGTTGTCCTTTAGTACCCCATACGCCATGGTGCGGTCTACTCCTTATTTGGTGGAAATCTCCAAGTGTACGCTTGGAGTTGATTAGTCTATTAGTTGGAACGCTTAGCATATATGTCTTGCGGTAATTTATCTGGATATGCGATTCAGATTCACAGTTTAACAATAAGTACATGTTTAGCATTGCTTTTTTATTTTTTATTTTTAGCCTTGTTTCTTTTTATTGATTTAACAAATCTACTCATATCCCACATTACGTAATATCTATTCTAACCTTTATGTATGCGATTAAGATTCACAGTTTAACAATAAGTGCCTATTTAGCATTGCTTTTTTATTTTTTATTTTTAGACTTATTTCTTTTTATTGATTTAACAAATCTACTCATATCTCACATTACGTAATATTTACTCTAACCTTTATGTCACGTTTCCTTGATCCTAGACCCTTTATTATGGGAATATCAGAGAGTCACGGTTGTAAAGTCAGACCCAAAAAAGAAAAAATACGATAGAGATTAGATTAGAAAGAATATCATAAATTTGGTTAAACATGGGGGAGGTGTGGGCATATTAGTAATTCCACCTCATTGTATTCCCTCTACAAAACGCTTCAAGAAGGTGGCCACATTCATTATTCAACAAGCTGCTTTCAGTTACAAAACCAAATTCATAAAGAACTTCTGCTGCCCCTTCGACTACAACGCATAGCAGCCAAAAGTGCTTCTCTGTTCCGCTTTTACTCCTCGTACCATGGGCTTAGGAGGCCAGGAAACGCCGTCGTTTGTGAGTGATTTTCTGGAAAAGTGTGGTGGCTATGCTGTTCTTGACGGTGGGTTTGCCACTGAGCTTGAACGACATGGAGCTGACCTCAACGACCCTCTCTGGAGCGCCAAATGCCTTATCAGTTCTCCTCACCTCGTCAGAAGGGTACTTCTTATTGAGTTGCCCTATTCTCAACTTCTTTATTTTTTTATTTGGTTAAATCTTTTCTCTGCACTTTTGCTTGCTACTTTTTTTTATTTCTAGAATCCCATTAAGGGAAAAACTTAAAAAGAAATGAGAATAAATGCTCAATAATATCTTCTCCTTTATGTATATTATATTGCATTTATGGCATGTTTACTTACTTGAAAGGAAAAATAGTATGTTTATTTACTCGGAAGGAGAGTGAGATTTATACATCTTTTGATTTATGTGTTAGTAAATGTGGGGAAATTAATACTCATTTCTGATAAGTAAACATGCGAATATAATTATATATATTTTCAATCATGCCCTTTTTATTTTTCTATTTTTCTATTTTTCCATTTTGTGGATAAGGTAAATTAATCTGCTGCTATTTCAAAATAATAAAATAAATCATATTCTAAAACTAAGAGTATTTTTTGTTTTTTCTGTCTTGAGATGTATTTTAATGCATATATCTTTAGTGGGTGTCTGTATTATAATCTCGATTAAAGATGAGAGCTGAGTCATCCTAGGTTGTATCACAGTAAGTGAAGCACGTCAGCTTCTGACAGCAACGTGGCAAAGCCCAAACATCCAACTCAGATCGTCTCATTTTCTCATGACACCTGTCTTTTTCATGCAACAATTAATAAAAAAATTTGGTGCACAAAAAATATTATGTGGATACATTCATGACGGTCAAAAATATTGGGCCATCTTAAAGTCCAATCCCATTTCATATCCTTCTAGGCACAGCAAAGCTTAGGCCCATCAAATATTTATTCTTTTTTTAAGATATTAAAAGAGGGGAATGTGAATATATATATTAAAAATTCTTTTAAGAGCTACAAATCATTGTAAATATTCATTTTCATGCCGTATTTTAGAATATTTTTTCGTTTTTCTTCTATTAACAGGTACACTTGGACTACCTTGATGCTGGCGCAAACGTCATAATAACCGCGTCTTACCAGGTAATTAATTTTGTTTATCCCACCTCATTACTTTATAATTGTTTTTTTAATAACAAAGTTAATTACGTTGTTATATTTTCTGTGATACAGGCCACCATTCAGGGTTTTGAGGCCAAAGGTTTCTCTAAAGAAGAAGCCAAAGCCTTGATTAGGAAAAGTGTAGAAATTGCAATTGAGGCAAGGGAAATTTATTATGACAAATTGCAATCAAGACGTCCAGTTCTAGTTGCAGCATCTGTGGGCAGCTATGGGGCATACTTGGCTGATGGCTCTGAGTATAGGTCAGTGAACTCAGTGATCCATAAACTTTCACTCATTGAACCCAAATTAATTTACAAAGCAATAGCTAGATTTCTGAGCAATGGTAATTTATAGGGCCCTAAAAAATTCCTGAATGTTTTAGCGTATGATTTTGTAGTTAGAACAAGAAAATGGAAGCACCCCTGCATGTGTTATTTTCTTGTGCATTGTTTTATATGGTTTGTGGTTCATTTTTTCTGGCCTGGTTTGTGTTACTATGTTCCTAGATGATTAACTGATCTCATGCATTATGATTTTGCTGTTTCTGCTTTGCAGTGGAAACTACGGTGATGCAGTTACCGTTGAGACGTTGAAGGATTTCCACAGGGAAAGGGTACAGATTCTAGCCAACTCCGGTGCTGATCTTATCGCATTTGAGACAACGCCGAATAAGATAGAAGCAAAGGTAGATGCCATTTCCCTTAGTTGTGCCTATGTGAAAAATAATATGTTTAAGGCATTTCATGCCCCATTGTTTGTCCAAATGCCACATGCATCTTGAATTAGGCTCATGCCTGTTTATTGATGGGGAAAATATAACTCATGAGGGTGTTTCAGTCATGTTCAGACTAGAACATGGAAAATTCCACTCTGGTTTTGGCTAAATTCCTTGCTTGAATGTGATGCAGGCATATGCTGAGTTGCTTGAGGAAGAAGGAATAGACATTCCAGCCTGGTTTTCCTTCACTTCTAAAGATGGAATCAATGTGGTCAGTGGCGATTCGATCTCAGAGTGCGCCTCTATTGCAGATTCATGCAAGCAAGTTGTTGCTGTTGGAATCAACTGCACCCCTCCCAGATTCATCCATGGACTGGTTTCATCGATTCGGAAGGTCTGATTTTTGGTCAATTTATTAGTTTATATACTCAATTAGCCCCTTGAACTTCTGATAAAATGGTCCTGTTCCCATCTAATTTGCAGGTTACAAGCAAACCAATAGTCATATACCCCAACAGTGGTGAGACTTATGATGGTCTGACCAAGCAATGGGTGGTGAGTCTCCCTACTTTTTACAGAAAATACTTGTGTTGCATAGAAAGAGTAGCAAATTCTTGTCAAACATATGAAATCTGGTCTTAAATTGTTCCAAATGTTTTGAAAAATTCTGAATGCATGTTAATTTTCGATTGCAGCAATCAAGCGGGGAGGTCGATGAAGAGTTTGCAGACATAGTGATAGGCAAGTGGCGTGAGGCCGGGGCTTCTCTATTCGGAGGCTGCTGCAGGACAACTCCAAATACCATAAGGGCCATATCTAGAGTTCTCTCCAACAACAAGTCTTCTGCAATTAACGAGGATGCTTAAATGAGTTCCAAAACTGAGATGTAAATATTTCTCTAATCCGCTAAGAATAAAAACTTTATATCCCTTCCTTTCCTTGTTTTGTAACTCAGAGGAAGTAGTGAAAATGTCACCGTGGTAAAAGTGTTAATTTCAAGGGTAAAATTTTCTGGCACTTTTTGAGGTTTAGGTTTATTCTGTTGCATTCTTACATGTAGCCAAATAAACAGGGGAATCATGAAAAAAAAAAGACTCATTTTAAAAGGGCCTTCAAATCCTTTTTCCAATTTTTTAAGAAATAGTTAAAAAATGACTCATTTTGATAATATTCTCGCGTGATAGAGGAAGAGGTAAGGCCGTCTCCAACGGAGGGCCAAATGTAAAATTTTGAGTTTTAGCCCCAAATTTCTTCTCCAATACATATATAAGTTAGGTCATAATTTCCGCCCACGCACTAATCCAGGCGGAATTCTGCTCAGCTTTTGAGTCGGACCTTAATTTTCGAACATGTTGCTTGTTTACCTTCTTTTTTTTTTACTTCTTAAATCAGAACTTAAACGTTTACCTCCCATCAAATGCCCATGATTTTTTCTGATTAAATGTAACCTTATAAAAAAGATCCAACGGCCCAAAACGAAATCTCAGCTAAAATGTTAATTAAATAATCTAACCTCAATATCATCCTAAAGTATATAAATACACACTTGTTTGTTCATAGTATGTGTTTTTGTCCTTTATTATTTATGAATTAAATTTTTGTTTTCAAAATTATATTTTTTTATATGTTAAAATGTTCTGAGTAATAAATCACGATGGTATAAACCAAAATTAACTTAAGAAAAATTAAACACAAAATATTTTTAGAGTTAAACGATTCTTAAATAATTAATAAAATTACGGACTCAAATTTTGAGTCTTGCAGGGTTGGAGGAAAAAACTATTTAAGTCTGGGTAATACATGAATAGTTGTATTTTGAAAGAGAAAATTTGAGTTTAGCCTCATTTGAGTTCGAGATAGTCTAACATATACTCGTGCAACCCGTATTGAGCAAAAAAGCCACCCTCAAGCGAAATACCTACATACTGAGATCTCCACCTTGCAATTGTTACCATTATCTCCACTGGCTCAATTTAAGTAGAGGTATTTGGTGTATTTTGTTCTTTCAACTTAAAAATCAATCATTTATTTTTCTAAATGTTTGAAGAAATTGTCAACTCTTTTTTTTTTTGGGTTCAAAAACTACTAAATGACGGATATTTGAGATATCATTCCCTTCACAGGAAAACAGAGGAAAAGAGGTAATTCAAAATTTATAAAAGAGAAAGAAAGAAAATAAAAAAAGTTCTGAAATTTGAACAGTCGGCGTACCAAGTTTGATGTAATTCAGTATGGTTCAAGCCCAAGGAATCATTTCAGTTAAGTTAGTTGACAGTTGGTGCAAAACTCCAAACAGGCAAAACAGACGCATCCCAAAATGGCTGCAACGCTTCAACTAAGTCCTCTGGTCTCAGCCACCCCAAGCTTCGTAGCTCCCACAAACCAAAGGGAACCCAAAACCATGGCCAAGGACACTTCCCCAACTGGGTCACTCAGAAACTGTAAAACCATGAACGAAGTCAAGCAACTTCACTGTCAAATCACTAAAAAAGGCCTCAGAAACAGACCCTCTACTGTTACCAAGATAATTACTACATGTGCCGAAATGGGCACCTTTGAAAGCTTGGATTATGCCCGGAAAGCCTTCAACTTGTTCCTTGAAGACGAAGAAACAAAGGGTAATATATTGTTCATGTACAATTCTTTGATAAGGGGTTACTCTAGTGCTGGACTTAGTGATGAGGCTGTTTTGCTTTATGTTCAGATGGTGGTGAAGGGTATTTTGCCCGATAAGTTCACATTTCCGTTTGTGCTGAGCGCTTGCTCCAAGGTTGTGGCTTTCAGTGAAGGGGTTCAGCTCCATGGAGCACTTGTTAAGATGGGTTTGGAGGAAGATGCATTTATTGAGAATTCTTTGATCCATTTCTATGCTGAATGTGGGGAGTTGGATTATAGCCGAAAGGTGTTCGATGGAATGGCCGAGAGAAATATCGTGTCGTGGACTAGTTTGATTTGTGGTTATGCTAGGAGGCAGTTTCCAAAGGAGGCTGTTTCTTTGTTTTTTGAGATGGTGGCTGCTGGTATTAAACCAAATTCGGTAACCATGGTGTGTGTCATTTCTGCTTGTGCAAAGTTGAAGGATCTTGAATTGAGTGAGAGGGTCTGTGCTTACATTGGGGAGTCGGGAGTGAAGGTTAATACGCTTGTGGTAAATGCACTTGTCGATATGTATATGAAATGTGGAGCTACTGATGCTGCAAAGCGGCTTTTTGACGAATGTGGGGATAAAAACTTGGTTCTTTACAATACAATTTTGTCCAATTATGTGCGTCAGGGACTGGCTAGGGAGGCACTTGCTGTATTGGATGAAATGGTTAGACAAGGTCCAAGACCAGACAAGGTTACACTGTTGTCTGCAATCTCAGCTTGTGCACAACTAGGCGATTCTCTGTCTGGAAAGTGCTGCCATGGTTATGTGATCAGAAATAGACTCGAAGGTTGGGATGCTATTTGTAATGCCATGATTGACATGTACATGAAGTGTGGAAAACAAGAGATGGCCTGCGGAATTTTCGATAATATGTCGAATAGGACTGTAGTGTCATGGAACTCATTGATTGCTGGTTTGATCAGAAGTGGTGATGTGAACTCAGCTTGGCAGATGTTCAATGAGATGCCGAAGAGCGATCTTGTCTCTTGGAACACCATGATTGGTGCTTTAGTCCAAGAGAGTATGTTTGTGGAAGCAATTGAGCTTTTTCGGGTGATGCAGGCTAATGGAATAAAAGGAGATAGGGTGACCATGGTGGAAGTGGCATCTGCCTGCGGATATCTAGGAGCGTTTGATCTTGCAAAGTGGACCCATGCTTATATTGAGAAAAATAAAATCGACTGTGATATGCGGCTTGGCACAGCCTTAGTTGACATGTTTGCTAGATGTGGAGATCCTCAAAGTGCAATGAAAGTGTTTAGTAGCATGGCGAGAAGAGACGTTTCTGCTTGGACTGCAGCCATTGGAGCAATGGCCATGGAGGGAAATGGGGAACGGGCTCTAGAGCTTTTTGATGAAATGATTAGGCAAGGGGTGAAACCAGATGAAGTAGTCTTTGTGGCTGTATTAACAGCATGCAGCCATGTTGGGTTTGTGAAACAAGGGTGGAACATTTTCAGGTCAATGAAGTCAGTCCATGGGATTTCCCCTCATATTATTCACTATGGTTGCATGGTTGATCTACTAGGCCGAGCCGGGCTCTTGGGAGAAGCTTTTGATCTGGTAAAGAGCATGCCAATGGAGCCTAATGATGTCATTTGGGGGACTCTCTTGGCTGCTTGTCGAACCTACAAAAATGTCGAAATTGCATCATACGCAGCCGAACGGTTATCCAAGTTGCCTACTCAGAGGACAGGGATTCATGTGCTTCTATCAAACATATATGCATCTGCTGAGAAATGGGCTGATGTTGCAAAAGTGAGACTACATTTGAAGGAGAAAGGGATACACAAGGTGCCCGGATCAAGCTCCATAGAGGTCAATGGAATGATCCATGAGTTTATTTCTGGTGGTGATACAAACACAGAGAAGAGCCAGCTTACATTGATGCTACAAGAAATAAACTGCAGACTGAGAGAAGCTGGCCATGTTCCTGATTTGGACAATGTCCTGCTTGATGTTGATGAGAAGGAAAAAGAGTACTTGCTCAGTCGGCATAGCGAGAAACTTGCCATAGCTTTTGGGCTGATCGGTACAGGGCAAGGCGTGCCGATTCGTGTGGTTAAGAATCTCAGAATGTGCTCTGACTGTCACTCCTTTGCCAAGTTAGTGTCAAGAATATACAACCGGGAAATTATAGTTAGGGATAACAACAGGTTTCATTTTTTCAATCAGGGGCTTTGCTCTTGTAGTGATTACTGGTGATAAAACTATAATTCAAGGCTCGCATTTGTACTTAAGACAGGCTCGCATTTGTACTTAAGACATTCTTATCTTCATCTTCCGGTCTTGTAGATTAAAAAAAAGGAATATAAAAGTATAAATTCAGTATATAAAAAAAAAGTGAAAGACCAGCTGTTGATTTGGTTCAGTCATGTGAACGCGTCAGTGACAAAGGAATATCAAACGAAGGTTCCTCACTTTTGAATTTTTTGCAGGCAGCAGGAAGCTGCTTCCTATATGTGATAAAGCACAAGGCCTTAATATATAACAAGAGATAGTTTCTGACATGAATATGATTTCTATGGCCAATCAAGCAGCCTCTTCTCCCTCTTCTTGTTTCTCCAATTCATGCACGTATGATGTGTTTCTTAGTTTCAGAGGTGAAGATACACGCCATAATTTTACAGATCATTTGTACAGTGCTTTGGTTCAGAAGGGAATCAATACCTTCATAGATGATAAGCTCAGAAGAGGAGGAGAAATATCAGCATCACTTCTCAAAGCAATTGAAAAGTCAAGGATTTCTATAATCGTATTCTCTACAAAATATGCAGCGTCCGTGTGGTGCCTGGATGAACTCAATAAGATCCTTGCGTGTAAAAAATTGAGGCAACAGAAAGTGTGGCCGATTTTTTACAAGGTGGAGCCCTCGGATGTAAGGCACCAAAGAGGATCTTTTGGTGAAGCGCTTGCTAAACATGAACGCAAATTCAAGAATAATATTCACAAAGTGCACAGATGGAGGAAAGCTCTTTCAGAAGCAGCCAATTTTTCTGGGTGGACTTTTTCAGACGGGTATTGTATATTTCTGACGACTTTAGTGCTTGTTTTTGTGTGTATATTTCAGGGCTATTTTACTTTTTAAGCCTTTTCTTTTTGTTAAATAGCTTAACATATGATGGGATATTGATTTGTTAAATCTTCAAGAACACATAACGTATGAAGGACAAGTTTTGACACATTCTAATTGGAAGGTATTAACGTAAGTGGAGGTAAAAAGAGTCAAAACTAAGGTTGAGGCTGACTAAATCAATTGGGTCGAGTGGTTGACTAATTGTTGACGTAAAATATTCTCTTTTAAAATGTCGTGTTGGTTTATGAAATCTTTTGTATTCTTTTAAAGTGACAGGCATGAATCTCAGTTTATCCGTGACATTGTTGAAGATATCTCAGCGGAAGTATCATACCATGCATATTTAGATGTGGCTACATATCCAGTTGGAATAGAGTCTTATGTAGGAGAAATCAATAAACTTTTAGAAGTTGGGGAAGAAAGTGTTCGCATGGTAGGGACATGGGGAACTGGTGGAATTGGTAAGACAACAATTGCTAAAGCTGTTTATAATTCAATTGTCCATAAGTTTGATGGTAGTTGTTTCTTGGCAAATGTTAGAGAAAACTCAATGCCACATGGAGGCCTAGTCCAATTGCAAGAGACTCTTCTAATTGATATTCTGAGGGTTAAAAAGTTGAAGATGACTAATATTGATAAAGGAGTCGCTATGATAAAGAATAGGTTGAGCAATAAAAAGGTTCTCTTGATTCTGGACGATGTGAATCAATTGGAACAGTTACACAGCTTAGCTCGAGGGTCTGATTGGTTTGGATCAGGCAGTAGAATTATCATAACGACAAGAGATAAACATTTGCTAACTGCTCATCAAGTATATTTGATATACAAGGTCAAAGTATTAGATTATCATGAAGCTCCTGAGTTGTTCAGTTGGAATGCATTCAAAAGAAATGTACCTCCGAGCGATTATGTGCAAGTTGCTAGATGTGCAGTACACTATGTTCAAGGCCTTCCACTAGCTCTGACAGTTTTAGGTTCTCATCTATGTGGTAGAAGCATAGATCAATGGCAAGCATCATTAGATAGTTACAAGAGAGTTCCTAACAAAGAGATACAAGAGATTCTCAAAATAAGTTTCGATGCATTGGAAGATATTGTGAAAGAAATTTTCCTTCACATTGCATGTTTCTTTAAAGGTAAATATGTAGACTACGTGACACAAATGCTAGAATGCTGTGACCTCAACCCTATGATTGGCATTGAACTACTTGTAGAAAAGGCTCTCATAACTATAGATGGATGTCGGGTTTTGATGCATGACTTGCTAGAAGAAATGGGTAAAGAAATAGTTCGTCAAGAATCGCCCAATAATCCAGGAAAGTGTAGCAGATTGTGGTTTCACGAGGATGTTGATCACGTGCTGACAGAAAATACAGTAAGTATAATTTCTGTTGTGTTATTCAGCAAGAGAAGCAAGCCCATATGATTATAGTTTTCTTTTTGTCAAAATTCTGAAGCAAAATATTTATAACTTGGAAACACGTGTAACCAATTTACACTAATGGTTTTTCTTTTGTTCTTTTTTTTTCCCCCTGTTTCTACTATAGGGAACAGATACAATTAAAGGCATTATGATAAAGGTGCCTGAATCATATAATCAGATATGCTTGAATGCTAAAAGCTTCTCAAAGATGAAAAGTCTTAATTTATTTGTAAACTATGATGCGCACTTTTCTGGGAACATTGATTATCTTTCAAACGAGTTAAGGTGGCTTGACTGGCCTGGATGTTCTTTACAGTCTCTGCCATCTAATTTTCATCCAAAGAAGCTTGCTGTGCTCAATATGCCTCAAAGCTGTATCACCAGACTATGGGGGGGATTCAAGGTACTTAAAAGTATTCATTCATTATTTTTCTCAAACGCCTATGCTGAAGCTTTCTTTGAAGCTTCATTTGATTCTCTTTCTTGTTGCACAGAATTTGCCAAAGTTGACATCTGTAAATTTTGAAGGCTGTAAGTTCTTAGAGAAAATCCCGGACTTCACTGGAGTCACAAACTTAGAGAACTTGAATCTAGATTACTGTACAAGTTTAGTTGAGGTTCATCCTTCCGTTGGATTCCTTGATAAACTTGTTATATTGAGTCTCAGGGGCTGCTCTAACCTCATGAAGTTTCCAGCACAAATAAGCTTGAAATCTTTAGAAGTTATGGAGCTGGGCAATTGCTTTAGGCTGGAGAATTTTCCAGTAATTGTACAAAAGATGGAATCCTTAAGATACATGAATCTACAAGGCACTGCCAGTAAAGAATTGCACTCATCAATTGGATATCTCATTGGGCTTGAAGAGTTGTACTTATCAAATTGTAAAGATCTTACAACTCTGCCATGCAGCATTTATGAGTTGCAAGATCTAAAGGTTCTTGACTTGCATTGCTGCAAGAGGCTTCAAGAAATTCCAGAGCTTCCACCAAAGATGCGTTGGTTACTTGCGAGTGATTGTGAATCATTGGAAAGGTTTACAAAATTGTCAAAGATATTCAAACACAGAGAAGAATCGCGAGGGATTTATTGGATGAACCTGTCTAATTGTTATAGATTGTGTTCTAATCTGGGCCATGGCGTGGCAAAGATTGAAAATGTTTTACTGAATCAGGTCTCTATATCCTCTCTCACTCTCTCTACGCAAATATATATGTGTACACATGTGCAAGCACACACATACACACGTGTAGTTAACATTGTTATTCTTGTGTTATAGGCATCTTCTGATCACGACTCTGCATTTGACGTTGCACTTCCTGGATATGAGGTTCCGGAGTGGTTCCCCTGTCGTAAACGTGAACTTCTTGTTGAAACCCCTCGATATAGGTGCGGTATATGTGAATTTTCTTTTGAAATTCCTGCAACAGTCCAATGGGAGAGCACAGGATTGGCTTACTGTGCTGTTTTTAAGGTCGTACAGAATAGTTTTACTGGTTGGCATTTTGGAGCTACAATTTCCATCAGCGATGTATGCTTAGGGCGTGATTATGAGTTTTTTTTCTTGTTCAAGAAAGACAACGTCTGCTCATGTGTGGCTCAAGTATATTCCATTAAGGACTTCGAAGAAGTCACAGATATTCGAAACACAGCCTCGGTTTCATCCTCATTCCTGTCGAGTTAGATTTTACTTTGGGAGCGGCGCACTACCAGTTTTCTTGAAAAGCTCAAGTGTTGACCTACTCCTAGTATGCGACCAGGATGGTTTAAACTACGGCATGGCAGTCAATCATCAGCAAGAGGAATTGCTTTCAGAGTCTTCGAAACCGATGAATCCTCAAAAGCGAAACCTACAACAAAGAGCCTCAGTTCTCATGAAAATCGATGATACTAACATCGAACATCAGCAAGAGCAACCACTTAACTTGTCTTTGGAACCAACGAATCCTCGAAAACGGAAGCATAATGAGGAACGAAGGCATCGTAGAAAACAGAAGGATGTTGAGGAGCAACCATCCACTTCAACTTCACCAATGATTTAGTGGCTTGGTCTCATATCATGGGCAACCAATCGTTGGTAGTTTGTCACTCTCAGAAATGAAAGCCTATTCTATCAGAATGATCTTATTTTTGTGTGTGCTGAGGATCTTCTTACAAAGTGGCACTCCAAAGCCTGTGTTTTGAATTCATTGATAATCTTTTGTTCTTTTTGGGTTAGTGTTGAACGATTTTGTACTAAGAGTAAACACCTACAGCCATTAAAGTAGGAAGAGAAGGGTGGAAACAAAATATGCCCTTTATTTCATCAGAAACTACCAAAAAAAAGAAAAAAGAGACCAAATCTACGAATTTATTGACAAAAAAAATCCACAAATTTAACAAACATTTTACATGACAAAATTAACAAGCAGAATGTAACAGTTGGTAAAACCCAAAGGCCTTTCATGATTTGCTTCTTAACTGCGGAAAGATGGAATCCACAAAGGCATGGTGCATCGGATCTGATAGCCAGAGAGTGGCTATATGATAATGAGATGAGGTGTGCCGGTGGACTTCTTCCATGAGCCAGATGGTGGCTTCGGCTTTACACGGATGAATTATGGTATCCAAGGGCCTGTACTCTTCCTCACTGCCCATCCTCAATTGGTCCCACTGTTTTAGGAGAATATTGGTGAGGTAATGCAAAGGTTGTCCATATAACTGCTTAATGGATTTGCCTAACCCCATCCATGAGGTAAATGGAATAACAGAGCCACGGTGCGCCGGGATCGGGATCTGCTTCATGTACTCCTGATACATCTCTGCCCTTCGCGCCAAAGCACCTATAGTTTAAAGCATGTTTAGAGGACTTAAAGAGACCAAAAAAGCAAACCACCCTAACAGCATTGGAGTCATGAAGGCTACAAAGGTACCAGGAAAGAAATATGGTAAAGTGCCATAGCGGATATAAACAGCAACCTATTGGCCACTCATTTTCCTCAAGAGGTTATCACATATTGAGATTACTATATTCAGCGAAAAAAAGCTCAAACAACCCCAACGATGACATTTACGAGTACATGTGTTCTTCATCTTAGTTAATAGCATTGTCACTGACAAGTTTAAGAATGGCCAGTTATGTACCCATTACAGTGCAAAATAAGGAAAAATAAAACTTGTTGGACTATTAATCTTAGCAAATAAGCATTTTGGTAAAAACTGGTAATTCATTTACTGGAACAAACAGTAGTACATCGCTTGGATCAGAGATTTTCACAGATTCATAATTTCTCGATGACGTTAATGTAGTCTAAACATGATAGAGCTTGCATAAGTTTACACAACTATTAAGTTTCTCGAACTTGAAATTTACCATTTCAGTTGGACTACATTTTTGTTAATATCTTATTTTAGAAAAAGATAAAAAAAAACATAAAATTTGCTCTGCAACATTATAAATAAATCTTAATTGACACTATTATTTCAACATACATTAGTTCACCAGTTTCAGTAAAACAAGGCTCTAAATCTTGATTGTGCAATTACCTTCAGATGTTCTTTCTTTGGCAGGTTGATCAGATGTGGTATTATTGGTTAACTGCTTGCTATCAGACTCAATATTGGTTTCCATCTCCATGTCTGAGGAAGAAGAGTCATCTGATGATATAACATCAACCTGCTCATCCCATGGAAATGCCCTCTTCATGGTATATGGACTGTAACCTGCATAGGATAACTCATTCAGCATTCATATGAATTAAAACAACAGAGAGCCGATATAAAACAGATGAAAAACTTAAAGCTCCCAAAAGAACCATAAGTTACTCATTTTGTGCAGCATACACACCACCCACCCACCATAAAGCATTAGTGCGATAAATTAGCTACTGGAGAGGTTTTTAGAGAAAATTACAGAATCTGGTGGCATTTGGAACACGAAACATCCTATCACCAATTCTGTCACTAATCTTTAAATACAAAGACAATAATGTTCGGATAAAATCAGATTCGAGACAATGCCTGCAGGCTGTTCAATTCCAAAACATGGCTGACCACAGGGGAACAATTGCGAATAATGTTTGCCTACTATTAATTCATAAATGAATCCATAGGCAAGAACTAAGGCCAACCAGATAAATTAGACATATGAATAACAGATAAAAGGCATGCAATAAACTGCACACCTAGATACGGCATGCAATCTCTTAATTATAAATCACAGGTCACTCAATTCTCATGATACACCCTATTTAGGGTACAAATGGGTTCTCCTAGAAGCAAACCAAACACGAACTTTCAATATGATTTCATGCAAACAGATCTTTTGATTTCATCAACTCTGTCCTTTTTACCGCTGAATCTACCAATTTTGTCAATTCTGCACAGCATGCTTCCAGTGAATTTTCAATGACCCATTTGCCTGACTTGTTTGCATGATATTTTAAACAATTAACAAACACAAAACAAACACATTCCTATTTACATTCTTGACTCTTCATACTTTTCCGGAAATGGCAGAACAAAATCACCCAACTGCTTAATTAGAAAAAGAAAAGAACAGAAATTTAGTTCCTTCCTCGGGAACAATTAACTGTAGAAATTAGAAGGCCCAAAGAAGAAGAACGAAGAAATGAATTGCAGAAAGATCACTAAAGAGAGCAACGGGACTGACCTTTAAACAGCAAACGGAAAACGATTATTATTAGAAGATGTATTTCTGCTGCTGTCGAAGTTTCTTCAGTTAGTTTTACCAATTCGGGTCGTATTTGTACAGGACAAAGTGGAGAGAGAATTCCGTTGCGGGCTCCACCCGAGACCCGTCCACTCAATGTTTTTATTCTACAACTCATAGGTCGACCCGACCCGACCCTAATATGTAGAGGACCTTTGACCATAAATAAGAGGCTCCTGTTTAGGAAGACTAAAAAGAGAGTTAAAGAATTGTACAACTCAGAAACTAAACACTTTGATTTGCATTTTAGGGCTCAAATGATTACTTGAATATCACACATTGATGAAATTCAATAACTAAAAGAAAGATCGATTTTTTGGGATCCTTCTTTTCTTCAAACAAAACAAATAGAGATAGAATCAGATTGATTCCCTAAATGCCTTTTTGGATATTCCTCAATTTTCCGGCTATTTACAAAACGTGGAGTTTTATGTTGGTTATTCAACTAAATTATTTGTTCTAATGGTCGTTCAACTCTTGCAAATTGATCTTACCGTTTAACTATGTTAATATTGCTATTACTTTCAGGGTAAAATCGTCAATTTATACTAAAATATTAATAAATTAATTAAAAATATAAAGAAAAATACTATAAAAATCAGAAAATTTAAAATAAATAAATAAAACTAAAAACTGAAATGCGCAAGAGTAAAAAAAAAACCAAATATTCATTCTAATTGAATACACACACAAGAAAGAGACAAAAAAATTGGCTCACCATTAGAGGCCGATCGCTTGCCGTGGTTGCTCCGCTGGGTGTCCATGAACATATTCATCCTCTGCACCTCCAAATCATTGGCGAATTGCATCCTCTGCTTCTCCAACTCCACCATCTGCCTTAACTTCTCGGCCTCCACTCTCTGATACACCTCCCCGAACCTCTCAATCGCTCTCGCCAATCTCTTCAACCCTTCTTCTCCTCCTCCGCTATCTCTCTCCCTCTCCATCTCAACCTCATACTTCTCCTCGTCGTCCTCTCCATCTCAACCTCCTCATCTAGAATTGGAATAGCTGTCAAAAGTCCTATTTACCCCTAAAAAGGTTGCATGTACTGCTCACAATGATTTAATTTGACAGAAAATGTTACATTGATTGGCAGTCTTTCCCTGTCTCTCGCCCAATGATGCTTCCAAGGTTCCAAAATCCCAACCTCTCTTCCATTTCTAAAACCAACATCAAACTGCTGCGTCACTTGTTATGCAATCCTCTGTGCACCCTGACTGAGCCAACCCCAGTCAGTGAAGTCACCGAGTCTCCCGAGCTTCCAAACTGGGTCAAATTCTTCGACACTAAACGCCCAGAAAAGGCAGATCTTGATGAGGATTTTGTTATCCCTTCTCTTGCCGATTGGGTCGAGGCTCAGAAGCTCAGAGACCCCAGAAAAGCTGTCAAGCGCCCGCTCAGCGAGACCGCTGATACCGACGACATCGATAAAGTCTGTAGAATCTTGAAAAATGGGTACCCATCATGGAAAAATGCTGCTCAAGCTCTGGATGGGTGTGTTTTGGATTTATCAAACAGTTTGGTGGAACGGGTTTTGAGGAGGTTTAGCAATGAATGGGTTCCTGCTTTCGGATTCTTCATTTGGGCAAAAGCACAAACAGGTTATAGGCATCCGCCGGAGGCATATAACTCAATGGTTGACATTTTAGGCAAGTCCGAGAATTTTGAGCTTATGTGGGAGATGGTTGAAGAAATGGTCCAAATTGGAGGAGGGTATGTTACTTTGGACACAATGAGTAAGGTGATGAGGAGGCTTGCAAGGGCTGGCCGGTACAAGGAGGCAATAGATGCATTTCGGGGGATCGAGCGATTCGGCGTGAGGAAAGACGTGCTGTCCTTGAACACTCTCATGGGTGCATTGGTGAAGGAAAGAAGTGTTGAGCATGCCCATGAAGTTTTCTTGGAGTTTAAGGAATCTATACCTTTGAATTCTCAAACTTTCAATGTTCTGATACATGGGTGGTGTAAACCCAGGAAGCTAGACATTGCTAGAAACACAATGGAGGAGATGGAGAAGCACGGTTTTCGTCCCGATGTTTTCTCTTATACCTGTTTCATTGAAGCATATTGTCATGACAAGGATTTTCGCAAAGTTGTTGAAGTTCTTGGTGAAATGAAGGACAAGGCTTGTGAGCCAAATACCGTGACATATACTGTAATAATGCATGCTTTAGGGAAGGCAAGGGAGATAACTAAAGCTTTGGAGGTTTATGAGAAGATGAAAAGGAGTGGTTGTGTTCCTGATACTTCGTTTTATAACTCTTTGATTTTCCTTCTTGGTAAAGCTGGTAGGCTCAAGGATGTTCAGGAAGTAGTTGAGGACATGACAAATCAAGGTGTAAAGCTGGACACTTTGACGCATAATACCCTGATCTCTTCTGCTTGTGCACTTTCGCAGGAAGAGGCTGCTCTCAAGTTGCTCAAGAAAATGGAGGAGGAATCATGCAAGCCGGATCTTAAGACTTATGCCCCGTTGTTGAAGTTGTTTTGCAGAAAGAAGAGGATGAGGGTGCTCTGCTTTTTGTTAGACCACATGTTTAAGAACGGCGTGAGCATTGAAGGTGGAACTTATGCACTCTTGGTACGTGGGCTTTGTAGCAATGGTAAGCTTGAAAATGCTTGCTCATTCTTTGAGGAAATGGTGTCGAAGGGATTCGTTCCAAAGGACAGCACATACAACATGTTGATAAAGGAATTGGAGGGGAAGAGTATGGAGAAAGAGAAGAAACATGTTGAAAAGTTGATGTTGCAGGCAAAAGAGCAAGAGATATAGGCAACTCTTTCCGCCACTGAATGCCCAAAGAGTCATGCGGATTTGTACCCTTGGACCATTATCAAATTATAGCATCTCTTTTTCACCATTATCTAATTATTGCGCTGAGACACAACTGGTAATCTTGACCATTCCCAGAGAATTCCAAAGACATTGCTGTTAACAGAGATGCATGTCTTTGATGTGAGCAAATAGAGATCTTTTAAGATCAATTTTGTTTTAAAATGTTGGTCTCTTTATTTTGTACTCAGTTCATCCAAAAAACATGTTTGGTGAGAATCATGACATATTTTGCCGTGTAAGTTGTAACTTAACCATAAAATAAAAAAAGGAAAATAAAATAGTAGCGAGAAGTCCAGTGTGAACTTGGAGAATGGGAAAAGAATAAAACTATTTCATCAACCACTATTGTCATGATGTCATCCAATGTTGCATACATACAAAGAATAATACAATGCTTTCCATAATTACAAATTTAAACTACTTTTTTTGTGAAAGAATATAAACTACTTTTCAGTTTGGGAGCTTAATGCTCTTTCTGAGAAGTTGATGCGTGGACAGATAACACACTGAAGGTGAAGAGAAGATTCCAAAGGTTTCTCCTGGCCTCCGAGTGATCCAACTGAGCATAGAAGAGAGGGAATAGACATGCTGAAGGAACGATAAATATCTCACAAGAACTGTCTTGTTTTACGGAATAACGAAGTTAAGGGAGTACGTGAGGCTAATCTCTTGGACCTCGGCTTCTGCCATCCTAATCTCTCCAGAAAGTCTTCAATCAACCTACAATTTTGAAGTAGAACAAATTAGAGATACAAAGAAAACAAAACCAAAAAACCAATGCCAGTTGCAAGTGACTCACATGCTGCACATCGACTTCTGTGAAGATGCCAGCTCACGGTCTGGGAATGATTCCTCTAACCGGAAACTCAACCAAACATAGAGATCCAAAACCTTCAATTTTGGCACCAACAGAGAGATCTTATCAGAGGCTGACCTCACAGAGTAGTTTCAAATGAAAAGACATTACTTTTAAGAAGCTCAAGTCAAAGAAACCATTTATCTTATCATTCTTAATACATAGTACGGTACCGAGTACTTTCAGGTAAAGTGCAAGTACATATTTATACAGGAAGCTGATGGATTTTGTCTTCTGGCATCTGCCATTCTGGAAATCATTTCCAAACTAATTCTTACGAGGTAGAATTTAGTGATTTCCATCAATTGGGTTTGGGAGTGAAACATTCCATGGTGAAATTTGGAAGTTAGAACCCCACATTCCTTCTCAGGAAATAGGCAATCTAAAGAAACAATATTACCTTGTGAATGGATTCAAGCTCCTTGAGTGCAGCTTCTGTTTGTGGTACCTTAAGTGTCCCTGGTGTGAATATTTCTCGAAGCCGAACAATGCCGGTATTTGCATAACTTTGAGCAAACTGTACCAGGACAGTTGTTATAATGGCTTCCCATTAAGATTAAACAGTACACACTCAAGGACAGTATATTAATTTTACCTGTGTAAGACCCTGGGATGAAATTTCATCATCCATGTCAACTGGGCTGCAGATCACAATGATTAATGAATCTAATTCTGAACACGTTAAAAAGCTAACCCAACATGATTGTTAACTAAATTTTCTGAATCAAAGAGAAGACCTATTGAAAAGGTAAAATTTCATTCTAAAACTTAAAAAGACAAACTCAGGTAGAAGTCTCTTCTTTATGTACCTTATACAAAAACGGTACTTATCTGGCAACCCAAGAGGCAACTCATCAATAACAGCTGCAACTTTCTGATCAAAGTGAAGGTGGAAGTAACCAACAAAAAAAGTTATCAAAATCAATTGCTAACAAGAAATACCATGTTGAGTTCCCTGACTCATTTAAAATTAACCAAAAAGCACAAACATACCAATACTTCTTCACAGTTAGCAATGAAATAATTGTCTGACAATTTGGCATTCTCTACAAAATGTGCCTGCCAACACGTAGGGGAAGGAAATGATATATAAATACATAATATATTTCATTAAACAGGAGGCTTAAACTTCAATAAAATAGAATGTCAACAATCAAATTAATTTTTGGTTAGCTGATAATTTTCATTTTCTTTAAAGTTTTCAAAGCAAACGCGAAATGACCAATCTTGGATTCATCTTTTTACTATTGTTCAAGATGTATAAATCATCTAAAAAGTTCAAATCCACTTATAGATTGACCCTGCTATTGTGAAATCCATTATATGTTTGGTTTCAACCAGCAACAAGATCCAAATCGCTGTCCGTGTGAAGTACAAGTGAAATGTAATCAGCCGGAATAATTTCCCATGTTTTACTTTAGAAGTAGCTTCAACTGTCAACAAGCTTCACCTATGCCCTAAATGATACCTATTTTTTACGCTTTCTTTTATTTGATAAAGTATTCCATGACACACTAATTTAGTTGAATTGATCACCCTGAGCATATCTTTGTGGTGTTCCTCTCTAATACACACATGTACACACAAACATATGTAAGCTCGTATGCATGAGTTCAAAGATACAGAGCCCATGAATAAACACATACACGGGAACAGATACAAGTTATAAAGAATATAGAGATGATAATGAAACCAACCAGTATTTGGTAGAGACCACATTCTGGGTGTAAACGTGAATACATATACATAAGATCAAAGGTAGGAAATAATCCAGCACTCTGCATTAGAACAATTACACCCGGTTAGAGGACAAGAGACACATCAATGTGAACTGAGATCTAGAAGTAGATGCATCATAAGAATCAAATAAATGTTCTTTGCAATAGATAATAGCATAATCACCTCAAGAGTCGGAGATGGGGATTCTAGTGATGAATGAAGCAAGGGCAGATCATCTGCATGTAAACAAGTCACTTCACCAACAGGAAACTTTGATCCATACCTGCCAGCTCTTCCTGTAAGAAAAACCAGTATGTTCGTCCAAACATACAGAACCATCATTTCAAGGTAAGAGTATAAAAGGTTACTATGTACACAAAACAATTATAAGTTGGTGGAAATTGCGAAATTTTCAACATAACACAGCACAGCACCTTCATGCACTATAGATACATCACAAGGATATGGGAACCTATAATTTTAGCTCTTATCATTATGGTAAAGTATCCACCATTTATGAAGTATTTCTTGCAGTAACTAGAGGTTATGAGAATGCATGGTAATGACATATTAATGCCTTAGGGCAAATCAGGGATTCTTAAAAGCAGGGAGTATGAATGATGCACACACCTCGTAGGTTTTTATATGACGATTACATAGAGCACTAACAGATAGCGTGAAATTGTGGTCAAAGTAATAAAAGATTTAAGACGATACAAGCTCTTAACAGACTTGTTCATTTTTAGATGAGGAAGATGTTTTCATGATGCCTTTTCTGGCACTTGTGGTTGGAGAGTAGTAGAGCATCTGAAGGAGCTGATCCAAAGGACCAAAGGATACTCAGAATAGCGTCTTGACAAGCCACCCATACTCCTTGTATATTTGTCAGATTATGCCCTTTCTCTGCATCTTTAATTTGATGTACTTCATGTGTACATAAGTGACACCCCCTTGAGTCTTTCATTAACCATAAGAGTAACGGACACATGCCATCAAGAGAGCTTAAAAACCTCATAACATACCAAATCCAAAAATTGGTTCGTTAAAAATTTCAAGAAATCACCAACATAAAGATAAGAGAGAAGGGGAAGAGTGAAGGAGAGCTACAAACAATAGCTCAGAACTTTAGAGTAGATCAGAAATTGTTGCTGTGGAAGTTGATGAAGATTCATGGGGTGGGGGAGGAATAGACTAAGGATTTACACCATGAAAAAGACTTAGGTTGTGCTTCTTGGTTAGGAAAATGCCTCACAGAACTGGCATAGACTAGAGTGTATGACAGGTATTATATAGGTTTATATAAAACCAGGGTTTTAGGATCGATGTTCGGAGACCTAGATTTTGGGAAGATTTATTTGGGCTGCCTTGATAAAATTCTGAAGAAATTAAATACAGATATACTTACAAATAGGCTACTAGCATTAGCATCAAACTAAAATATGAACCTCGCCTATATGGACTTACAAGTTTAAACTTTAAAGTATATGCTATTAACCCAAAGGAGTACCTGCAATTTGTTTGACCTCAGGTACAGTGAGTTCCCGCTTCTCAAAACCATCAAATTTCTTCATTGTTGAAAATATGATCCGTGAAATGTTCAGATTAAGACCCATCCCAATTGCATCACTTGCCACAAGAACATCAAACTCACTGCTTGCATCATTGAACTTTGTTGCCTGCAGTCCTAAAGGGTATATTAACCAAGAACTTGTGGTGATCATAAAAGGTTTAAACTAGAAAGTCAATCATTACAACCAAAAACATCCACAATTGAATTGGAATCTGCATTTTATTCTTTTACATTCAAAACAGTTTAGCAAGACAGTAAGCTTGTCACTAAAGGAAATGATTTAAGAAAAAGGATACCTATTTGCAAGAAGGAACTAATACCTGTCTTGTTCGAGTCTCTGGTGGGAGTGAACCATAAACAACAGAACAAAGATGCTTTCCCCCATTTTCAATTTCTTTCTAGCAATACAATAAACGAACAAATGCACTTTGACAAGTTAGTACAACGGTAATACCGTAAATGAATAGAATCAAGAAAGACAAAGAACATCAACAGAAGTTCAAACAGCTTCAGCAATAAAACGTTTATAAAATAAAATAAAATAAAAAGTCCTTTTTGAGCCCAGAAACAAAAGTAAATATTAGTATAGCAGGGAAACATTTTCTACTGAGACTTGAGAGAATAGAATAAAGCTTTCTCAACCAATGACCATTTTTAGACTCAAAATTTTCCTTTAACACCCAAATTCCTTTCTAGTGTCTCTTTTCCAAGCCTCATTTCATATGTACCTCAAAGTAGAATATATTATTACTATCAAGACTCAGAGAAGCCATCTCAATTATTCCCATCCAG